TTATCTTTAACTTTTTTCTCGACATATTCTAATAACACACGAATTAATTTAACAATGGCTATTATTAATGAACCAAATGCAATTGTACCAAGATGAAATACAATTGCACGAAATAAAGATTGACCTAATGATAAACATGGAATACCAAATCGTTTTTTATCCCAATAATAACGTGCATAAACACCAGCTAAAATTTTATATTAATTTTTATTTTAAAAAAACAAATTGCATAAAAAAATAAAACTTACCGAGAACTAATTCACTTAAACCAATTGTAAAAGCTGTTAACCAAAAAAACATAAAAGCAGAAAATACTTGTGGAAGCCATTGATTTTCATTGACAAAACTAATAAAAGATTGAAAATGTTTACCAGTACCTTACATAAAATAAAAAAGAAAAAATAATTTCTAACAATAATAAAATTGATCATACCATTAAGAATACTATCCAAATCAACTTGTGGATCATATCCATACTCCGAAAATATACATTCAACATTCATTCCAGCACTATTAAGACAAATTCGAAAATTAGGTTATCGATCAAAGTCGAAACTTAAAATTAAACTTAAATTCATCAATTCGATCATTGCCATATATTTTTGTCTCTATTTAAAACACGGTCAATTATTTAACCTACATTTGAATTTAATAATCTACTACCTGAATCAAGTGGATATACTTGATAAGTGACTAAATAAGTGAGACCTATTTTTGTGAAAAAAGAAGAAAGAAAAAAACTTAATTGTTGATTTGTGTTTACTCAACGCATAGAAATTTCATTCATCATTATTGACTTTTATTTCGTGCACTTTAGTCTTAAAAAACTTCCATTGAATCAGCGTTCTTTGAAAAATTAAAAATAAATTCTGTAGATAACGTCTGAGACTACAAAATCTCTATGCAAAATTTTTTCTGAACACATGTAGATTCTTCAAAAAACTCGATTGACTCATCATTAACGACGTGATGGGATACGTAAGAATACTCTTAGAACTAAATGAGAAGTTCGAAATCGATTTCAAATAATACAAACACTCTCCCCCCCCCTCCCCTCCTCCTCTAAACTCTAGATGATGATGAGTCAGAAATTTTCGTTTCAGCATTTAGTAGGATCTCTAGAAAAAATTTCACCATGGATACCGTTGATTCTATCGTAAAGTTTTCGATTTTTTCACTCGTATGATTAGAGATACATTAAATAATTACTTTTTAATCAATTAACATTCAGTTGAAAGAAACTAAACTTATTCACAAAAAATAATCCTTATAAAGAATCAAAATCAAATGAAAGGATGATATGGCCTATATGCTAACAGCCATTTTATTTATCGATATTTAATTGGAATCTTAAACTCATAATGGAAAGACTATACTGAAAAAAAAAGCTGTCCGGCGTAATTTCTGTAAGATTAAAATATGGAACACAATGTAGTTGTTAGTGATAATCATATGAAAATTGTTTTATTCGATCTAGTTTGGAACATCTTCTTCATCATCATTCACTAAATTTTCTAGAACTGCAATAAGAAACTAGTTCATTTACCCTATATATCTCAGCACTTCTTATGGATCATGTTTCTCAAAAAGACTATTTTACTTCGAATCTCGAAGACAATGACATATAATAGTTACTCAGTCAAATTTGAATAACTTAGGCTTATTTGACTCGATCTGACGACATGGTTTTTGAAAAAACTTTTATTCCATTTTTTTGGATCACATATTTGACCGATTGTTAGATCTATTGAATCTGCATCTGATTGATTACCTGCTATTCGATAAATCGGTTTTCCTGCCGTTGCTAAATACATAGTAATAGCTGCCCAATAAGCAAATATGCCAATATGTAATATTAATGGTATAAATGGCCAGAAAAGACTAAAAAAGTTATATGCAACAGCTTTTGATGCTTCTTGAAGGATAGTTAATGCTATTTGAAGACGTTTAAATAAAACAAGAACAATAAGAGCTGCTATGAGTAAAAGAATACCGGATAAAATTCCAATAACTAACCATGTGATTGGTAAACTTCGATAATAATTAGCATCAGCAACAAATTTAAATTCTTTTATTATTTGATTATCATTATTTTGACGAAGTTGAATAA